TCTACCAACATTGTGATGATAAGTATCTCTGTGAATGTACTACAAGATAAGTGATTACAATTGCCGCAACTGTAGTTTCATCTGTATTATTTCTTATTTTTGGAGTACCTTATTATATATTTAAACGTGATACGTGATAATTAAGCGCCTATCCCTATAATATTATACACTCACACACGGTAGTTCCAATTGCGGTCGTTTTGCGGGTCGTATAAAATTTTTTAATTGTAAAATTATAACCGTTTTTTTATAAAATTTTATCTTGTTTACATTCTTTTATATTTAAAAAAGATCGTTGGTTTTTTTTATAAATTAATATATTTTAATAAATCAAAATGTTATTTTATTTTGAAAAATAGTTACCGACTTTGTATTTATATAAACTAAATAAAAAATAATAGGCGGATAATTAAGTCAATTCAAAATCCCGCAAAAAATTTTTTTAACTATATTTCTACCGCAATTTTTATATTTCTCCCGCATAATACCAATTTCTCCGGCATAATACCAAATTTCTCCCGCAATTTGAAAATTTTGACCTGGCAACCCTGATCCTAAACCCTAAACTATAATAATACAAAATAAAGTATATAGAAATATATTCTAAAATAAGTTCCCAAAGAATAATTTTATTTTTATTTCATCTGATAATAACACATGATCTAAAACAAAGAATATAAAAATGTTATCTATCTTTTACCCGAAATCAATTGAAAAACATCTATAAATGTCAATTATATATCAACAGATACAACAATCCTAAACCCTAAACAAATAATACAAAATAAAGTATATATAAATATATTTTAAAATACGTTCCCAAAGAATAATTCCACTTTTATTTCTGTTGTGATGACCTAAATGATTTTTTTTATATATTTTTTTCACAATCTATTAACTCGATATTAACCTTAAAGATTGATTTTTTTTTATTCTTTATATTAAATTAACTTTAACCTCGCGGACTCGTTTTATAAAATTAACTCAATAATTCGAAATAAATTACTTGATAGATTTTGTAAACTATATAAGCGTATAAATTTATTGTACTTTCCAGTTAAAATATTTTATATATATTTTCATATATAAAAATCTTAAATTTTTTAGTTAAATCTTGTCTAACTCCCTGCTAACCTTAACATGGTCAGTATAAGAAAGTTTACGAACAAAAACCAACTAATACTAGATATGACAATACCCATATGATGCCATATACTGAGAGCAAACATTATGATAATAATTACAGACATCAGTTTAGACAACCATGGCAGACTCGACCATATTATGGCAACCAAAGATTAAACAACCAAAATAACTATCATTTTCCAAGACGAAACAATGATAGATTTTATGATCAAAATAGATGGGAAACTTCTTGTATTCCTTTCAATAATCACGACATAAGAGATAACAATAATAATAGATTTAATAATAACAACAATGGATATAAAAATAATTACAAGCCTTTTAATGATTTCAAAAACCACAACAGATTTGACAACACCAGACAACCGTTTCAAAATTTTACAGGTTATAATAGATCCAACGTGCATCAACAATTTTACGATCGTGACAATAAAAATTATATGAATCATAATCCTAGACATCAAGCACCTTATTCAAATAAAATCAATACAGTTGATATAGAAGAGATCGAAGACGACAAAATCATATCAAACGACAAGAAAGATTATAATTTATTAAATATTGATATAAATAACGTAGAAAACGAAGTACAAAATATTAAAGATGACGCATACATGGTGAAAATCAAAATTAATAACATCTTGACTTCACTACAAGTGGATACCTGCACGAAATTCACAATTCTAATAAAGTATATGATTGAGAAAGTAGGCATAAAAAACATTACGAAGTCCAACATTCAGTTATCTGGTTACGACGGCAAGACCATACAAGTGATAGGCTCAACGCGACTGAATGTAGAATACGAAGGGAGTTCTCAAATTTTAGATGCATTGATTGTAAACAGTAACAAGATGCCTTTATTAGGAAGATCTTGGTTGAAACATTTTAAAAACATACTTGAAAGATTCATAGGCTTAATTGACACGGATCATAAAGACGATTTAGCGGAATTAATATCCAATTGTAAGTCTAAATTAAATAATAAACCTGTCATAAAAACTCAAGTCAGATTACGACCAAAGTCAAATGCTAAGCCAAAAATTATACTGCCGAGAAGGGTACCTTATTCTAGAATAGACATTATAACTAAAGAATTAAATACCTGGCTGGAAAACAAGATCATCGAGCCGGTAAAAGACGTTAGATGGGCGAGTCCACTCACACCAGTTTAAAAAAACAATGAGAGTTTAAGATTGTGCGCCGACTTTAAAGACACAGTTAACCCAGCGTTTGAAGATTTCAAATACCCCATACCTAGAATTAACGATTTGATTGCCAAGTTAGCTGGAGGAAAAAATTTTAGTAAAATTGATTTCAAACAAGCCTTCCTGCAAATTCCTATTCACAAAGACTAGAGATTTGCTAACTATATCCACGCATAAAGGATACTTCAGATTCACGAGACTTCCGTTCGGACTAAAAACATCTTCAGCCATATTCCAACAGACTATGGAACAGGTTTTCGGAGATTTAAAAGATGTTATATTTTTCATAGACGATTTGTTAATTACAGGCGATAACGATGAAATACACTTGGAGAACATTAAAAAAGTATTCGAAAAGATCATCAAGTATGGATTAACCCCAAATTTCGACAAAAGTTTATTCCTGCAAGACAAAATACGCTTTAAGGGACATGATATAGACAAACATGGTACACATCCCAACGATGATAAAATAAAAGCAATTATAGATATGCCGGAACCAAAAAATTCTGAAAAATACTTTCTTAGGCATGGCGAGCTATTACCGTAAATTTTTAAACAGTTTTGCGGATCTGGCAGATCCACTATATAAAATAATAAACAAAGATAAATGGTCTTGGGATACCGAACATCAAGAATGCTATAAAAGATTAAAAACTTTAATCAGTCAACCTCCCACATTGAACTTTTTCAATCCTGATTTACCCATAGGTATAGCCGCGGATGCATCTAAACGCGGTTTGGGAGCTATTTTATTTCACTTAGAAATAGACGGCAAAGAAAAGCCGATAGCTTTTGCCTCATGATCCTTACTTAAATCCGAAAGAAATTACACTAACATTGAACGCGAAGCGTTGGCGATTATTTTTGCGATGAAAAGATTTCAAGAATATCTTAACGGAAATTCACAATCATCACCGATCACAAGCCGTTGATTAATATATTTTCCAAAGGTTTAAAAGAAAATTCATCTATGTCGATGAGGTTGCAGAAGTGGAATATTTCAATGGGAGCTTACGACTTCGAAATACGACATAGAGCGGGTAAACACAACACGGTGCCAGATTGTTAGTTCAGATTGCCAATAACACCTTCAGAAGAAGAAATACACATTGTGGATGATATAAAAGAAAATAATGATTTATGGGACGTACCAATTAACTTTAAAATGATCGAAAAAAAACTTCTAACGACAGAGAATTAATGGAAATAAGGAACGATATTAGAGACGGTGACACGATAAAAAATAAAACATATAACAATATGGTGACGGAATTATGTATTATGGGAAATTGTCTATTTTAAGAAAATAAAATCATCATACCTAAAGTTTCAAGAAAATCAATACTACAACATTTACACGAAGGACACTTGGGTGCTGGCAAAACCAAACATTTAGCTAAAGAATACTTTTGGTGGCCTGGAATTAGCAATGATATTGATAACGAAGTAAAAGAATGCAAATCATGTAACATTTGGGCCGATAATCCCATTAATACACAACATCCTTGGATGTTAACGACGAAGCCATTCGAAACAATACACATTGATTACGCTGGGCCATTTTTTAACAAGTACTGATTGCTTATAGTAGATGCGTACAGTAAGTTTTCTATAATCACGCTGGTAAAATCAATAACCTCGGAATTTACAATAAAAGAATTGATGAAAACAATTAGCTTATTTGGTATTCCAGAACAAATAGTTTCTGATAATGGCTCAAACTTTACAAGTCAACTGTTCAAAAAATTTTGTAGAGACCATGATATACATCACTTTCAGACTTCAGCTCACCGTCAACAGTCAAACGGGCAAGTTGAAAGGATGGTAAGAACCTTTAAATCACATATGAAAAAGTGCATGGAACAAAATAACATGGATATAGATATCGCTTTGGAAAAATTTTTGTTCAACTATAGAAACACGCCAAACAGAATGACTGGTATCCCACCTAGAAAACTCATGTTCAATCATGACATGAGCAGTGACTCCTACAACGGGGGGGGGGTCCGAAGCAACTGCTTCTATAAATTTCTATGGGGGTACTTTTTTTTTTTAATTTTTTATTTTAAAATTTTTTAAAAAAAATTTTTTTATTTTTTTTTTTTAAAAATTTTTATGGTCGATGTTTAGCAAATTAGTTTGTTATCCGATATTTTTTATCATAAAATTATTTTTCCACTTTCAAGACTTGGCGCAAAATTAAAATTTTATCAAAGGGAATAGTAAAAATTTAAATATTAAATCTTATATATAATTATTTATAATTTTTAGATCATTGTCAAAATATGCCCAAAAAATTAACCAAAAAAAATATAAATGCTTGATTAAAAATTGTACATATCATAATATAAGAGATGATAAATGGACAGATCATACTAGAAAAAGACATGGTGGGCTTAATTTTCACGATATAAAGAAATTTGAAATAGTGGCTTTTAAGAATATTTCTCAAAATTGGACAAATAGCAAAGTAATTTTTTTTATTAAATATTTAATTGTTTATACTTATTTATAAAGGGTATTAAAACACAATTTAAGGAAAAAGAAGTAAAAATTGGCAAATCAATGCTGTTGGTATAATAAATATTTTTATTAATATGATTATTTTTTTAAAAGTGTACTAATAATGAAAATATGTTAGAAGAAAATATTATATCTGACTCTGATAATGATCATAAAATTGGTGAACCAGAAGTTATTTTATTATTCTTATTTTTTATCTACTCTAATATTTTTTATAGGCAGACATAGAGCAGAGATTTGACAAGATGAAGAACAAGTAATACCTATTATCTCTCTACTGGTAATAAATATTAATTTATCTTTAAATTTTAATGAATACAACAGGAAGAAAAAGAACTTACACCATTGGCGTACGCAGCGGGGGGGGGCAGGGAGACAAATTCCTCCCCCCCCTCCAAAGCCAAAAAATGCAGATGCCGGATATATTTTTCAAAAATATTATTGTTTATATTAATTTATATTTGTTAATATTTATTCGCCTTATTAAATATATATTTAATTACATTTTTTATCGCATTTATCTACTAAGTTATTTTATCAATTAAATTCGATTTTAAGTTTTCCGGCGTAATATTTACTTATTATTTTCAAAATTTTAGTGGCGTAATATTTATCTACCATTTTCAAATTTCTAGTCAAATAATAATTATTTCTGAAACTTCTTGTCCAACAGGGAAAAAGAAATTGCAAGTCCAACGAGATAGAGTCTCTGCCATCAAGCAGTAACAGCTTAAGGAGTTAGAAGAGCCAATTATTTGCTATTACTGAAGTATCACAATGGCCTGAAAGAAATATTTCCTCAGAAGCAAGAAAATTATTGGATACAATGCTTATTCCAAATTTTTTTTCTCATTAGAATGTACAACTATTTTATGTATTACTTTTCAAAAACATGATGACTTGATTAAGAAGATGAGAATAGCGGAGAGCATTTTATTAGAATTCAAGGAAATTAGGGCTAATGTTGATGAAGAATTTCATATTTTATATTTTATTGTTGAGTCAAAAGCAGAGCTATACGTGTTATATTTGTCTCCCTCGACTTGTAGCAAGGCAAGCTCATCGTTAAAACATTAATATAGGATCAGTAGAAGAGTATATCTTAAATCAGATACATTTATAACCCAAATAAATGAATTTTTAATTCATCATGCAGCACTTACTAATCTGCAAATAACTTCCACAAAAGCCTTCCCAATCTTTTGCAGATGGTGATAGAAAAAAAAATATTTGTTAGATTTTTATTATGTATATGTTAAAGTATCTTACGATGCCTTACTAGCTGAATAACTATGTTTATAAGATTAACTATGGTTAATATAGTCCCAAAAAATGTTGTGGATGCTCTGCATTATTTCAAACACATTTTAGATTAAATTCCCAATGTATTAAAAGGGTTTATAAACTCTTCCCATTAGTAAACGAATGAGAGATTTTTTTAAGAAGAATAACAGAGGCCTGGAGAAGTACCATTTGCAGGGCACGGCCCGGATTTTTTTTAAAGATTTTTTACGGCCTGGCCTAGGTTTTTTTAAAAAAATTTCAGGCCCGGCCCGGATTTTTAAAAAAATATTTAGGCCTGACTCGGTTTTTTTTAAAAAAAATTTAGGCCCGGTCCGAATTTTTTTAAAATAAATTATTTTTATTTTTTATTTTTATAGCTAATAATAACGATTTCAAATATAGGCTGTTTTAAAAAATACAGCCCGGATTTGGTGTTTTTTTAAAATATCTCAGACCCGGCTTGGGTGTTTTTTTCAAAAAATTTCGGGCCCGGCCAGGGTATATTTAAAAAAATTAAAATAATGTCCGGCCTGGGGGCAAGGCCTGCAGATCTCTGAAAAACATACCAAGAAGTACAACATCTGAAAGTAGATTGAAAGATTTGGATCTTTTGAATATTCATAGGCATTTGACGACAAGCAAGGATGAGATAATTGAAAAATTAGCTCTATCACAACGAAGATTGGATTTTACATTGTAAATTTATAACATACAAAATGTGTAAAGGCTCAAAAAATTCAAATTTCTATTTTGGGTCATTTAAGTGATTCTTTACATATAATTTTTTTATAATTCACATTAATTGAAATTGTGTATTAGAAATAGTTATTAGTCCTAATAAATTTATGCTTGATATTTTTAAAAAACAATAATATTTCTTAAAAAATTTTATTAACCCCCCCCCCCCCCAGACTAAATTCCTGCGTACGCGCCTGACTTAGACCCATTAATATTAATCTGAGTGTGGCTATGGAACAAGAACAAGGTGAAGAACCACAACCAAAATTTTTATTAAAACACAAAAGTAATACCATAAAGAATTATTTTCAAGTTCAACATTTAAAAAAATATTTATTATTACATTATATTTGTTTTAAAATTAATAGGCAAAAGATATTATTTTAAAAGATACTTCAATGTCAATGTCTACTCACTCTTTTTCAGCTAAAGAAAAAGTTCAAGAAAAACAAGTAATACAATATTTAAATAAATATAAATTTATAATTATTATCATGTCAAAGATAAATATTATGGACACTACTACAGTTACAGGAGAGGATCAACATCAAGAAGAGCATCTGGATCTGATGTTGTGGGATTGATAATAATGGAGAATAATGAGTTATCAAGATCAGCAAAAGAAGTTAACCCCCGATTTAATGTAAAATATGTTATGTTTATTTTATCTTCCCTCCCCCTCCCTTTTCTTAGGAATCAAATGATCCCATCAATATTGTCGGAAAAAGAATTGACAAATTTATAATTTATAAATATCTAGAATTAGGAGCTCTCCAACCTAAACATTATTTATTCTCCAAAGATATTAATAATAGAAACAGATCCTTTAATGAAAGTTTTTATGAGAAAACTAATATTGACAAGAGCAAAGTTGCTAGAAATTGAATTAGTATTAAAATGAATAAAGTTTTTTGCTTAACATGTCTATTATTTGGAGGTCCACACTCAAATTCAAAATGGACATGTGAAGGTCTTAATATATGGCAAAATATTAATCGTGATATTATTGTGCATGAATCTTCACAGGCACATATGTTGGCCGATTATGGAAGGCTTTCTCACAATAAAAATTCCATATTACAATTTATAATACCCCAAAAGGAATGTGTCGATAATAACCGTTATATCGTTAGAATAATAATAAGATGCCTAGGATATTTAATATCTCGCAATCAAGCCTTCTGGGGGAACAGGCAACAAGATGGCAATATGATGAGCTTTATTAAACTTATTGCAGATTCTGAGCCTGTTCTTAAAATGTATATACAAGATAATGAAGAAAGAAGAAGAGAGAAAAAATTTAAGGGATTAAAATCTAAATTATATTCAAATCTGTTATCATATAATAACATAAACATTCTTATTGAAACCATGAAAAATATGGTTATAAAAAAAATTCAAAAGGAGATTGAATTCAACAGGTGCTATTCAATTATAGTTGATGGCACATATGATGTATCGAAATCAGAAGCAATAGCTTTGATAGTGAGATATGTTGAAAATAGCGAGACACCTAAGCCCGTTGAAAGGCTGATAGACATTTATTGTACGGGAAATACAACGGGCCTCGATATTAAAAAGAATATAATATCCAAGCTTGGCTCCATGAATCTACCTCTCGAATTCCTAGTGGGGTAAAGCTATGATGGCGCCTCAAACATGAGTGGAAGAATTAATGGAATGCAGGCTTTGATTAGAGCGGAGGTGCCAAAGGCAGTTTTATTTGGTGCTATTGTCATCGATTAAATTTAATAGTTGTTCAATTATGCCAATCAGTAAAAGAGCTGCGAAATGTCCTGGGAATATTAGACGAAATTTACGTATATTTTAATGGTGTTAAAAGATATGAAGTGCTCATAACATGTCAGAGTGATTTACTAATCACATAGATTTTTACGCATCAAGAATACCACTCGGTAATATTATCTTAATTGTTTCGATATATAATGTTTATTTTATATTTATAGAAGCTGGCTAACATCATATAAGGCGATTGTAAATTTTTCCCTACTTTATGATGCTTTGAGGGCAGCTTTGGCAAATTTAAAGGATTCTGAAGATCCTGCCACTTCCACTATGGCTAGTGCTATAGTCTATAGAATAGAAAAATTTTATTTTATTTTATCACTATGTGTTTTGGATAAAATATTGTTGATAACAAGCTTGGCTTGTACAAAATTGCAAACCATTTCGAAGGATATAGGGTTTGCAATAAATCAAATTCAATTGGCAAAAGATTGCCTGATTAATATGAGAAGTATAATTTAAATTATTATCTTTTATTATTTTATAATCCTAAAATAGATAATAACACTGAATTTTTGGATGTCTTTTCAAAAGCCCAAGATTTTATGAAGAAGAGAAATTTACCTTTTGATTTTGAAAGTTCAAGACTTCAAACATTACAATCCAAAAAGGAGAGGTATATATATACTTTCATTTATTAAATATAATATTTTATTTTAGCTTTAAAATCAGTGTGTTTTATGCTGCACTTGATTTAATTATTATGCAGTTTAGTGAAAGATTTAAAGATGAATCGATAAAATTTTTGAGTCAAACATCATTTTTTACCACAAAGGGAATGGCGGAAAAGGCAATTGTTAAAGATGATATCAAGGATATCTGTAAATTTTATAAATTAAATACAAGTCAAGTTTTTGAGGAAATGTTGATGTTTAAAAATATTTATAAAATGGCTAAAACGGGGGACGTAATTATTACTCGTGACCTAGAGGTTAAAGAAGATTTGTCAGATTCTGAGAATTGTAAATTTATTTAATCAAAAATTTTTACTAATACATTATTTAGCTTCTTCTGATGATGATAATAATTCTGAGATGAATGATTCAGACTAGAGAAACTATTCATTTATCTTACCTTATCGTCTGCTTATAAATTTTTCTGCTTTCCCAAATTTAACAATTTTATATAAATATTTATTAACTATTCCTACTACATCATGTACTGCCGAAAGGGTCATGAGTAAAATTAAACTAATTAAAACAAGACTTCGTAGTGTCATGAAAGATCCATTTCTTAATAATTTAACCATTTTATCAATGGAAAATAATTTATTTAAACAATTAAATATTGATGAAATTATAAATTCTTTTGCTTTCTCTTCCCCTAATTTATCTAAATTATTAATTTAAAAATAATATTTTTAAAGCATATATTTTTTACATTATATTTATATTATAATAAATATTGATGCAATAAAAATTATTTTTGAAATTTATTGGTGTCAAAAAATAATTTACAATGTGGGGGGGGGGGGGTACTTTAGGGGGGTATTCTGCTTCTATCCCTTAAAAAGTGTAGGGGAAACTGGACATGAGAACTAATTGGAATTATTATAATATAAAAAAGATACGGATAATATTATGCTCACAGCTTTACCGAAAACTAGAATTATGGATATTAGAGAAAAAGTTTGGTATAAAAATTTTAAAGTAAACAAATGGGATGAAGGTGTTATAGTTAAAAAAGAAAGTAATATGCTATTTCAAATTCAAACGAAAAATGGTATATTAAGGAGGCACTTGGACCAACTAAAAAAAAGATTTACCACTGACGAAATATCCATTCATGACCCAAACACTTCACCAATGGTCACATTTTACAAAAGGAGAAATGTTGACCAAGAAAAAGATTGTACAGCCGACGTAACGAGGCCTAGTCGAAATAAATATTACCCACTCGATATCAAGATTATATTTTGAGCATAAAAGATTCACGTCCAAGAAGAACTTGAGCGATGTTTATTTCTTAAAGTGGAATGTTGTGATGACCTAAATGATTTTTTTTATATTTATTTTTCGCAATCTATTAACTCGATATTAACCTTAAAGATTGATTTTTTTTTATTCTTTATATTAAATTAACTTAAACCTCGCGGACTCGTTTTATAAATTAACTCAATAATTCGATATAAATTACTTGATAGATTTTGTAAACTATATAAGTGTATAAATTTATTGTACTTTCCAGTTAAAATATTTTATATATATTTTTATAAATAAAAATCTTAAATTTTTTAGTTAAATCTTGTCTAACTCCCTGCCAACCTTAACAATTTCATCTAATAACACATGATCTAAAATAAAAAATACAAAAATGTTATCTAATATTTATGCGAAATCAATTGAAAAACGTCCATAAATGTCAATTATATATCAACAGATTCAACATGCCCCCCTTTCTTAAGAAATCAAACTGGAGTAAAGAAATACAATTTACGCATATATATAACCAAAGTAAATGTCTACATATATTCTAATAAATGATCAAAAAGAAATATAAAAATTATTATTTATTTTTATTAAATTTTCTTTTTCCATTCCCGGAAGACCATACATAACTTTCATTGAGCTGTTGCTACCCATATTTACTTAATCATACGTAGTAGTCATTGAGCTGTTGATTATCATTTAATTTGACGGTGTGTGGTTCATAGCTTGATTTATCCATTGCATCATGTAATGTATTTAAATAAATTGATTTTTTTATATTCGCTTAAAGATACAATTTATTTACAATTTATAAAAATAGAAAAACATATATATATAGCTGATAATATTATATTAAATCACTTTACAATAAACTAATCAAATCATTTCATTTGGCGACGACGATTTATTTTTCAAGTCATTTTTGACGACGACGAATTATTTAAAATAAAAAGATTAAAATTATACCATGCCTCTGAAGAAGATTGAAGAACATACTCAATTTCTTATTCCAGAATTTGTCAAAGAAAAAGTTACTCTGAAGAAGATTGAAGAACATACTCAATTTCATATTCCAGAATTTGTCAAAGAAAAAGTTAATATTCAGGATTACATTTTCAAGGTAAAAAATATTTTCGATGAAAATATAAATAAGGATCTTTTATTGGCCTATATAGGCACCGAAAATTTAATTTAAATTAAAATATTTTATTTATATTTTAAATAATATAAATTATTTAACTTTATTCGAGAATCTAGAATCTAGAAAAAATTTTTAAGGATGTCTCTAGCATTTTTCTTTATAGGAATAATTTTTACATTAAAAAGAAATAACGAAAGTATAATTGACTTTTCAATAAAATTAAAAAGCATTTGCGCTTTATGTAATTTTAAATCGCTGGTTGATGAACTCTTAAGTGATATTTTCATCTTAGGTGTAGGGTTACCCTAGCTGGATAAAGAACTTCGGTCAAAATATGCCGAAGGAAATATTACTTTTGAAGATACTGTGCGTCTAGCTATCGCGTTGTCTTCATTGGAGAAGGAAACCCTGACAGAAGTTAATAAAATAATTAAACTTAAGCCTATGCAAGTTTCCAAAAATACTTATTCTAGGAATAATTATAACAACGTAAACAAATTCAATAATAATAATTATAATGCTAACAAATTCAACAA